GAGAGAAACATCCATGATGAGAGAGAATCATGGATCGGCTGGCTCTTGCACGCCCCACACTGGGGATGGAGGCCGCAACCCGGGCATGGGCCCTGACCGGGACTTGAACTGTGACCTCCTGGTTCATAGGGCCACGCTCAACCACTGAGCCACGCCAGCTGGGCTACACACAAGTCTTCAGAATAAAGTGCAAACTGTGTGCCTCTAACCCCTCCTTCTCCTCTTCAACCTGTGACTCCGGTGCAGGCCCAGCTGTCCCAGGCCTTGAATGGCGTTTCCGACAAGGCGAAGGAGGCGAAGGAGTTCCTGGTGCAGCTGAAGAACATTCTGCAGCAGATCCAGGTGAGCCGGCCGCAGCGCCGGGAGCGCGGGGGCAGGGGGGGTTGCAGCGAGCTCAGGAGAGGCGTCCAGAGGAGGGGACCGCGTGTGGCGAGCACGCGTTCAGGGATGCGCGCGAGGAGGCTGGCTTGTCCTGCAGCCTCAGACACTGCAGACACCACACTCGGTCCACTCACGCTCATGCGGCACTTGATACAGGAGATTTTGCATCAGCTCAGTGAGAGAGGATCATAGAAAGAGCTGGAGAGAAGTCGTGCACCCCCTGCATGGCCACGGCATCCTACGGGGTGTCAGCCTGTCCAGGGTGTTCACTACCCATGTTATCAATGCATCCAAATGTAAACACGTTATTTACTAAATAAGCGTATTTTTAAAAAATATTTTTATTGATTTCAGAGATGAAGGGAGAGGGGGAGAGAGATAGAAACATTAATGATGAGGGAGAATCATGGATCGGCTGCCTCCTGCACACCCCACACTGGGGATGGAGCCTGCAACCCGGGCATGTGCCCTGACCGGGAATCGAACCGTGACCTCCTAGTTCATAGGTTGATGCTCAACCACTGAGCCACACTGGCCAGGCCTAAGCAAGTGTATTTGTAGCACTCTTGCTAGGTCACATCCTGAGCCAGATGCAGACCCCTCAGGTACCGTGTCTGGCCTCAGGAGCTCGGAGTGTGAGGGAGAAGTGCACACACGTGTGCTCCGTGTGAATGTGCACGTGGAGGAACATACACGTGGTGACCCTGGAAAGCAGCAGTGTCAGGATGGAGGGAAGGGACTGAGGGACTAAGTCGGAGATGGCTGCTTGGGACACATGTGCACACGCAATAGGACGGGATTACGCAGAACGCACTTGCAGCCTGTTCCCCCGCCCCCATGAGGATTCCTGTGACAATAAAAACTCTCTGAACAAGGTTTGAATGACTAAGCACTGTTCCACCAGAGAGATGTGGTGCGATTCACAGCTCCTCTCCCCCAGTTCATATCTACTCGGTTTCCAGTTTAATTGTGTCTCGGTAACTCCAACACGCGGTCCATGTGTCTAGCACCCGCCAGACCTCAGCACGCCTCCCCTAACCCTCTCTGCTCCCCCAGGAGAACGGGCTGGACTATGAAGCCTGCCTGGTCGCTCAGTGTGACGCGCTGGTCGAGGCTCTGACGCGGCAGAAGGCCAAGCTGCTCACCAAGGTCACGAAAGAGAGGGAGCACAAGCTGAAGGTAGGTCCCTGGGAGACCAGGGCGCCCACGCCCCTCCCTCTCTGTCCTCGTCGCAGCCTCTGCACCCAGCACGGGGGGAGCACTGAGTCCATTAGTGAGTGAGTGAACCGATGAATGAATGAATGAGTGAAGGAAGGAGTGAGTGAATGAATGAATGAGTGAATTAATGAAGGAATAATTGAAGGAATGAGTGAGTGAATGAATGAGTGAATTAATGAAGGAATAATTGAAGGAATGAGTGAGTGAATGAATGAGTGAATTAATGAAGGAATAAAATTAATGAAGGAATAATTGAATGAATGAGTGAGTGAATGAATGAGTGAGTGAATTAATGAAGGAATAATTGAAGGAGTGAGTGAATGAATGAATGAATGAGTGAACAGATGAATAAGTGAGTGAATGAAACAAGGAAGGGATGAGCAAGCTGCCCCTGGGCCCACGTACTCACGTGACTGTCCCTGAAGCCAGTCGACACGCATGCGGACCCTCCAAAGCCAGCGCCGGACGCCCCGAGTCCTGCCGGTCGGAAGCCCACAATCCCCGGCCGCCTCCGAGCCCCGTGTGCTGCCTCCGGAACTCCTGCTCTCGCCTCGCAGCGCAGCAGTGACCACTGACGGTGACGAGGCCGAGCTCGCTCAGGTCCCAGCTCTGCCCTTCTTAGGCCGTGTCTGCTGGGTCCTGCACTCAGTAATCAGCAGCCATGACAGGACCCCAGCCAGCAAGGGGAGGGGAGGTTCCCCTCGCACGGTGCCGGGCTCCTGGGCTGGGCAGCACCTGTGAGCACGTGGCATTGACAAAGGACGACTTCATAGTCCCAAGGTTCGATCTGTTTTATAGACATTTGCCAACCGAATCGGAAAATATTACTTCCTTTTCCCTTTTTCTTTTTTTTGGTTAATCCTCACCTGACGATATTTTTCCATTGATTTTCAGAGAGAGAGAGAAACATCGATGTGTGAGAGACTCATCAGTCAGTTGCCTCCCACATGCCCCCAACTGGGGGCTGGGATGGAACCTGCAACCCAGGTATGTGCCCTTCACCGGAATCAAGCCCAGGACCCTTCCGTCCGAGGGCTGATGCTCCAACCACTGAGCCAAACCGGCCAGGGCAGGAAATACTACTTTCCAGGGAAGGAGGAGTGAGCTCTGGGGATGGTCCGTGGCTGGTGAACCATCGAGTCCCCCGAGACCAGTGAGCAGGGAGACCAGCCGTGGGGGATCTTCAGATTCTGCACTTTCTCTGCTCGTCTACCCAGAGTTCAGGACGTTTGCTCTGCTGGGGGCTGTGGCCCCACCTGTTGGGAATGGATCCATTTTATCCCCCACGTGGTGCCCAGGAGCAGGACGGCGAGAAGAGGGGGTTCACGGAGGGCCCGGCCAGTGCCACCTCTTCCAGAACCTTCTCTGTGACTCTCGCCGCAGCCGGGCTGCTCTTCCTCGGATGATGCGAGGGTGACTAGGGACTCTCTCCCCGCAGATGGTCTGGGACCAGATCAACCACTGCACGCTGAAGCTGCGCCAGTCCACGGGGCTGATGGAGTACTGCCTGGAGGTGATCAAGGAGAACGACCCCGCCGGCTTCCTCCAGGTGAGCCCACTCCCAGGGCCCAGGGGGGCTCGCTCCCTTCCCCCAGCCCCACCCCACTCCCCAAACTCTGCTAGGAAGGCCCCTTCCCGCAGCCTGGAGTTGAGTAGTCCTTTGCTCAAGGGTTCCAGAAGACCTGAATCCTCATCTTTTTTTAAAAAAAAAATATTTTTTTTATTTATTTTTTACAGAGAGGAGGGGAGAGGGATAGAGAGCTAGAAACATTGATGAGAGAGAAACATTGATCAGCTGCCTCCTGCACATCTCCTACTGGGGAGGTGCCCGCAACCCAGATATATGCCCTTGACCGGAATCGAACCTGGGACCCTTCAGTCTGCAGGCGGACACTTTATCCACTGAGCCAAACTGGCCAGGACTGAATCCTCAACTTTTAAATTTTTTTATTATTATTTATTTGTATTGATTTCAGAGAGGAAGGGAGAGGGAGCGAGAGAGAGAGAGAGAGAGAAACATCAATGATGAGAGGGAATCACTGATCGGCTGCCTCCTGCACTCCCCCTACTGGAGATCGAGCCCACAACGCGGGCATGAGCCCTGACCAGGAAGCGAACCGTGACCTCTTGGTTGATAGGTCGAGGCTCAACCACTGAGCCACACCAGCCGAGCTTAAGATAGGATTTAAACCACACAGTGCGTGTGCATGTTCCGCCTGTCGCACTGGTAGGGTTCATTTTCTCTGGTCCACGGCTTCACACTAGCCGGGGGCAGCCCCGTCCTGCCCCTGGGCACAGGGACAAGGCCCCCACGCCTCCCTCATCACTCACTGCACGGTTTTTCCTCTGCAAATCCAACCCCTGACCTCCGCACTCCCTTTAAGATCTCGGACGCCCTGATCAAGCGAGTCCAGGTGTCTCAGGAGCAGTGGGTCAAAGGCGCCCTGGAGCCCAAGGTGTCCGCGGAGTTTGACCTGACCCTGGACAGCGAGCCACTGCTGCAGGCCATCCACCAGCTGGATTTCATCCAGATGAAATGTAGGGGTGAGCCGGGACTGGCCAGTTCAGGCAGGGCTGCCTTCAGAACAGGTGGCCCCTCTGAGGGGCAGCCTACAGGGGTGGGGAACGTCCGGCCCGCGGGCCAGAGAAGGCCCGAGAAATCCTTTGGTCTGGCCCTGCCAAGGCATGAGGGGTGAGTTCACTAAATGCTTGACCAAATATGGCAGGCTAATTTTCTTTAAAATTTTTTTTAAAATTTATTTCAGCGAGGAAGAGAGTGGGAGAGAGAGATAGAAACATCCATGATGAAAGAGAATCATGGATCGGCCGCCTCCTGCATGCCCCACACCGGGGATCGAGCCTGCAACCCTGGGCATGTGCCCTGACCAGGAATCGCATTGTGACCTCCTGGTTCATAGGTCAACGCTCAACCATGCTGGGCGGGCTTAGCAGGATAATTTTTAAATGGATAATTTGGCATGGCCTGCAAATGATGTTATAAATATCGAAGTGGCCCTTGGCAGAAAAACGGTTCCCCACCCCTGCACTACAAGGTCATGATACTGGGAGGGAGGTGGAGCGGGAGGGGAGGGACGCCCGAGTCACAGGCGACGCTCAAGCCCCAGCTCAGCCACCCGCTGGCTGGTGGCCCCGGGCAGGCGGCCCCCTGGCCTGAACCCGAGCTGTCCCACTAGTCAGAGAGCATCCTTGTTCATTCAGAGACACTGTCGCGTCCTCCTGTCCTCCCCCAGGCCCTGACCTTTGCCTTCCTCCCTCCTAAGCTGCAGGGGCCCCTCTTCTGCCTCTGGGACTTGTGTCCTGAGCTCACACAGCCCAGCTGGCTCACTTCTTCCACCTCTGTGACTCTCTGAATAAACGTTCTCTTATAAAATAAAATATGCTCCCAGCACAAGGCTTAAATGCCTGCATTTTACAGCCCCAATCCCCACTGCCCCCTCCCCTCCCAGCACCACCCCAGCCCCAGGTGTAAGCTGTGCGCTGGCCCCCAGGGTCCCTATGGGCCTGGAGGCACGTGGACGGAGGCTCTGCTGGA